GCCTGTCCATGCTTGCCATGTGCTGATGGGCCATAAACACGTTAAAGAAGCCGCTGAAACCATGTGCTCATGTGCAGGAATGTTCATGTATCTCTTTCTCTCGTGTACTCTCTTGGTCTCTCTCATCTATGGCTGTCTCTCTCTCCACTGTCTCTGTCTCTCCCACTCTCCTGTCTCTCTCCTCTCTCTCTCCTCTCTGTCTCTCTGACTCTCTCTGACTCTCTCTCTGTCTCTCTCTCTCTCTGTCTGTCTCTCTCCCTCTCTGTCTCTCTATCTCTGTCTCTCCCCTCCTCTCTCCAGGAGGCCACCTCCTGCAACCCCTGATCCCATAAGCACTGCACTTAGCTGGAGCTTGTAGTCCTGGAAGGTGTGACTCCACGGGGCGGAGCCTGTGTTCTCCGGGTCAAGCCCCCATGTGGTCCCACGGGAATGACCATGCAAGTGACACCTTAGGGAGAGGTGACAGTGGACACTGAGTGTAAGGACGCAGGGGCAGAAAGGCCAGCAAATGATAATCAGCTTCTTTATTTCTTGAAATTCTCCAAAGGTTCAGATGATTTCAAAGATTAATACAAACGTGCTTTTCAACTGTAATGATTCCTAAATCCTTAGCTTTTCTCTCTACATCCAGGCCTATGTATTACTGATGAATTCAGTAAATCAATGGAAAGTCACTTAGCCAAATCACCTCTTTATTTAAGAACAGCTAGCTGTGGGCGTAGACAGAGTGGGTTTCTGGCCGACTGCCCTGCCCGCAAATGCAGAGGCGGGGGGTGGGGGGGGGGACAGGTAGCGCCTCTGCTCACCTGCCAGGACCCGCGGGCAGCAGGCTGAGCCTTCCAGGACCCGGACACAGAGGGTAAGCTCAGACCTCCCTGGACTTGTTCCATTCAGGACCCCAGGTTACCTCGAAGGCCACCACAGCCTCCCGTGCTGCTGATGGGGCCCTAGGGGGCTGCCGATCCTTCAAACGGTGACATTCAGGTCATTGTCCGGGCCTGGCTCTCTCTCTACCAGGGTGGCGCTGCCGAGGTCTCTGCTGCATCCCAGGGGGCTGCGGGGACCCCAGCTCCCCCTGTGGAATGGGGGGCAGGAGAGGGGCGCGAGCACTGGGGAAGGATCCAGGAGGGCCTCACAGGAGGCTTTGCCCTGCCCTGCTTCGTGGGGATGGGCCTCTGGAGCGTGCCGGACCCCTGGTCCCCATCTCCACAGACTGACAGGGGCAGGCCAGCAGGGGCGGGCGCTCCTGTGACAGGCAGCCGGGGACAGAGCGGCCCGAGGCTCCCACGCTTTCTTGTGTCACTCCCGTCCCCGCCCCACCCTCACACTCCAAACCCACTTCCTGCCACTGTGTCTCACGTCAGGGCCAAAAGTCCCCGGAGCTCCAGCCATGTCACACTCAAGAGCCGGCACTAAGGACAGAGACCTGGACCCCTGGGCGCCTTGGCTGCGGTGGGCCCTGGCCCTCTGACCTGCCATGCTTTTCCGGGCCACATGGAGCCCAGCAGCTGGTCACTGAGAAGCGTCGGTTCCGTGACCCAATGGGTCTTGGTTCTGAAGGCAGTGACGCCGAAGACTGAGCCCCAGGCAGACTCGGAAACTTCCAGAAACGTGACTCACTGAGCATTAGCAAAGCAGCGTCGGGCAGAAAGCTTTGTCTGAGTGGACCCAGTGAAGGAGACCTGAGAGGAAGGGGTAGCAGATCGCGGGAGAAGTGCGAGACAAAGAAACGGGTCTCTGTGTGCTGACACATCCGGACGCCCGAGCAAACACGGAAGGGGTTCATAACAGATGTGTGCACTCACGAGCCGGCAGCCCATGCCAATTAGGAGAAAATAGAGAAAAATCATGGAGCTGGCGAGGACAGACGCGTCTGTGGAAGCAGAACTTGAATTTTTAAACCACTGCAGGGACCAGGAGCTGCCCAGGGGACACGCTTGTCACATCCTGGGCCCCTGTTCGATCCCTAGAACAATGTGTCCCGAGCACGGCTGGCAGGCCCTGGTCCCCTTAGCCCTGAAACGAGGTGGCCTGTCCCCTCAGCGCTGGGCGCCACAGAGCCTCTCCTGAGCCCCTGGCCCCTGTGCGCTCTCCGGATAACTCAAGAACAGTCAAGGGAGCCGAGTTGGGCAGCGAGCGGGCGGGAGCTTTGGGCCTCATCCTGCTGCCAGGGGAGGCCCGGCCTGCAGCTAGGGGGCCTGCAGGGGTCTCCTCCGCCAGGGCCTGCCTGGGGACTCCAGCCCTGTGGCTCTCCCTCCCTCAGAGGCGGGACAGGGAGCTGGTTGGAGTGTGGAGCGCCCAGACCACCCGCCCCTCAGTCTGGGCCTCTTTAAGGACGTCATGTCAGGGGAAGCTCCCGGCCCTCCAACGTGGGGGAGACAGACGCCACCTCCCTCGGGGCTGCGTCACCAGGAGCTGCGTCACAGACCAGGAGGAGGCCATGGGGCAGGAGGCCAGCGGCCGCCCTCTCAGCATCTCACTCTCACACCACCGAGAGCAAGTCAAGTCCTCTCAGGCTCACCGGGATGGCACATCTGCAGGCCCCGCGACTCCAAGCGTCGGAGAAAATCGCGTCCCCGGCCTGTGGGCGCTGAGCTGGCCATGGGAGTTCGTGGCTGTGGGACTCGGGTCTGACTGACAGGAGCCCAGCGGGTCTGTGGTGGCGCTTCAGTTTTTCAGTTTTCTCTCCCATGCCGTCAGAGCAGCAGGGGCGCTTGCGGCCTGTGCTGGAGCCTCGGGTGCGTGTCCGAGGACAGCCGAGAGGGACTCGTGCCCGCCGGCCACCCAGGGGAACCAGCCCACATGGCTCTGCCCCATCTCGGGGCCTTGAGCCGCTCTGAGGGTCCAAAGCCCCCGTGCTCCCCACGTGACAGGGAGACCAGGCCACATCCTCGTGTATCTTGCACGAATGAAGCCAAGCGCCTGACGTCCCTTTCCAGAGGGTCTGTCTGGGGGCTTGAGGCCACTCCTGGCATCCAGGGCAGAGCCGAGGGTTCCAGGTGCGGGTGCAGGGTGTAGTGAGAGGCTTATCCACATGTGCTTGTCCCCCGATGCCTCCTGGGGCTGACGAGTCACACACTGTCCACGCGTGACACTTGCCAGGTGGCCCTGAGTGGCACCACGGGCAGCGTGACTATCTGGGGGCCTGGGTCTCACCAGCAAAGACTTCTGGCTGTCTGGGTAAACTGAGTCTGGCCCAGAGAGGAAACGCGGGTCACCAAGTGCTCCCGAGATGGCGTAGCTGCCGCGTCAGCTGTTCTGAGAGGCCGACAGGGAGGGCCCGGGGTCAGGGCCACCTCCAGCCCCGGCAGCCCACCCGCTGCTTCTGGGGACAGCTGCCTGCAGCCCAGGCCACTGGGCGAGGGGAGATGACCTTGCTGCCCCAGTGCAGTGCTGGACCGTCCACCTCCTGCTCCGGGCCACAGCCCAGCCCTCCTGTGTCCTTCCCTGGGGCTGCAGTGGGCAGTGTGCCGAGCGCTGCCCGTCACCCAGGTCCCCACTGCTGCCCCTGGCCATCACGGGCGTGGGGCCAGCCTGGCCTCCAATGGAGGCAGGAGCCCCCACAGTGCCCAGCTGGGTCTCTGAGCTCTGCGTGCGACGTGCCACTGTGACAGTCTCACTCAGGAACATCAGAAGGGAGAGGCCGCAGACAGCAGGGAGGGCGGCAGGAGGAGGCAACCCTGGGTCCCTGTCGAGACGCCCAGAGATAGGTCCTCGGGACCAGCTGGGCCTCCCCCTGTCCTGCCGCCCCCATGCCCACCTGCCCGGCTGCCCTGTGTCCCAGGGAAGGATGGGCCTGTCTGGTGCCCGGCCCCAGGCTGGGGCTCTAGGAGGGGGAGCACACGTGTGTGTGCGTGTCCAGGGACACGTTTGCCTCCAAAGACCCAGAGCAGAGGGCTCGTGTAGACGCCGCACCCACCCAACTGGGATTCATGTAGATGCTGCACCCACCCAGCCGGGGCTCCTGTAGACGCTGCACCCACCCAGCCCGCTGCCCTGGAAGCCACCTTGACCCGCGCACAAAGGCTGGTGTGGTCCAGCTCTGTCGGGAAGGCTCAGAGATTGCCCTGGACCAGACAGACCCACAGGCCCCCTCCGGCCAGCCCAGCAGGATGAAAATTCCTCCCCTTGGATCTGTGCTATGCCAGGAGCGTGTGCCCTTCAGCCCCCGGAATGGGGAGACCTCAGGGGCCCAGGAGGGAGCAGGAGCAACAGGCTGCTGGGCCCACACCTCCTGTGCCCATCTCTCCATACACTGCCCAGCCTGTCTGCCCCTGGGTGCTGGCGGGGGCCGAGGGTCTGCAGCCGGATGGGCCCAGAGCGGGTCAGGAAGGCCAGTGCTGGCATGTCCTGCTGCTGCCCGGCCCAGTGGCCGCGAGAAAGACAAGCACAACCTTCAGTGCCCCCCCTAGAACCGCGAGGGGCAGGGGCTGGTGACTGGCCTCAGGAGGGGGAGGAGCAGGAGGGGCCAGGCAGGGCCATGGGGGAGGGACAGCCTGGGGCCCGAGTGCTGGCCACCGCTAGGGCGCCGAAACAGGTTTGATCCCCGGCATCTCATATAGACCCCCGAGCACCACCAGGGGTAATTCCTGAGTGCAGAGCTAGGAGGAACCCTTGAGCATCACCGGGTGTGACCCAAAACGCAGAACAAATAAATAAGTGAATCAAGGGCGTCTCCTCCCCTCCCAGCCATGTGTCTTGGCCAGGGGCGGAGACTGGTGCAGGCGCGGCTCCCTGGGACCCTCTGTGTGCGGGTGCTGGGGGCCCGGGGAGATGCAGCAACCCCGCCCTGGCCATGGGCAGCTGAGGGCACCCAGAATGGGCACGGCGGAGGGGCTGGCCCTGAGGAAAGCGCCCGGCCTGGGCCTGTTCCCCCCAAGGGCGGGCTGCGGGCTGAGATGCTCGGCCCCGTGTGCGGGAGGGTGCGAGAGGGGTGTGCGCAGGGCGGGTGTGTGCGGGAGGGGTGTGCGGGCAGGAGCAGGCATGCAGGTGGCCCTTACCGTCCGCCCGGCCTCAGGGCCTCGGCGCCCCTCCTCCAGGAGACGGTGGCGCGGGGGAAGGCACTGGGCCTGCACTCCACCACGATCTCGCCCCCGACCTGCACGACCGACACCCGCTTCACGGGGTTGCGGGAGAAATCCGGAGCCGAGGCTGAAATGAGACGAGGGGAGCGTCAGAGCTGCGGGGGGGTGGGGGGGGGAGAGGGGGCGGGGGCTCGCTCTGGGCCCTTCCAGGGGCTTCTGGACGCTGGTCTCGGCAACCTTTATCACTTGGCGCTGAGGACGACCATGATCTGGTCATGGGGGCTCAAGAAGGTCCCAGACCCCCACCCAGCACACCAGCCGAGCAGGTGCTCAGACCCCGGGCAGAGGCTGAGGGCTGCTCAGACACTGCTGTGGGGAGGAGCAGAGGGAGGAGCGTCAGCCCAGCCCCTCAGGGAGGACCACAGGGCAGGGCAGGACGGGACAGTGACAGGCTTCCGAGGGCCGAGAGCACGTTCCCTGGGTTTGGGGGCCGCACCCCACGTGCTTTTGGCCCCCCAAGTGGGGGAAAGGGCAGTGCGGGGTCACAGGGCTGTGCTGGCTGGGGTCAGGGTCTCAGCCCGCAGCCCCCAGGGCCCTACGTGGCACCAGGGTGAAACCAGGGTCGGCTATGTGCAAGGCCAGTGCATCTCCCACTGTCCTGGGCTCCTGTCTGGGAGTTCAACCCAGACCGGAAGCCCCCAGCCTCCTTGGCTGGAGCAGGGTCCTGCAGGGAGTGTGCAGACACAGACAACGGGATCCTCCCTCATCCACCTCCCCCCAGGCTCCCTCCAAAGCACCGTCCTCCCCTGGGGAGCTGCTTCCGGGTCAGTTTCACTGTCCCCCATGGTCAACTGTCGCAAAGCAGCAGGACCAGGACTGAGGGTGGGGAGGGGCGCCTGTCACCTGAGCCACCCCAAGCCCCTGGCCGGGACTCTCCAGCCCAGTACATGAGCTGAGGCCGTCACGCTCACCAATGCTCAGGATTGATCGGTCACCCAGCACAGCCCCTGGCCACCCCCGGCCACCCAGCACGGCCCCCGGCCCCCACACCCATCATGGTCTCTGACCCTTTTCTCCTTTGCTTCTGGCCCGTGACTCAGGGCAAGGACTCAGGGGTCTCCTTCCCTCGTGCCATGGGCGAGGCTGGTCACATCCTCCTAATCTCGACTGTCACAACCCAAGCCGTCACAGCGCGACCTCTGTACCCCGTGAAACCGGCCATGTGAGAGTCAGATGGACAGGACCAGGCAGCAGGTGGGCCCGGAGCATGGGTGGCAGGAGGGAGGGGGGGGCGAGTGCTGTCCCTGTGCCCCTTCACCCCCGCCCGCCTCCTGTCTGGACGGCAAGTCCCACGAAGCGAGGGGACAGCCCTGCCGTGGCCTCTGCCTGCCCCGAGCCCCTGCCGTCTGCGGGAGACGCCCTTCCCTCGGGACTATCCCAGACCAGAAGGGGCTGCGCCCAGCACTGGGGAACGTGCTTCCCTCCGGGAGGCTGGAGTGGCCGCCCGCCCGGCCCTTCTCTGTGGAACTGCCGGAGCAGCACGGCCAAGGGACACCCTTCCTCCCTCCCCTGGGTCCTGGCGGATGCAGCCCAGGGCAGCCGACCCTGCGGTGCTGGTCCCCCACACAGGGTGACCCTCTGCTGGACTGGACGCAGCCCAGGGTGGGAACTAGGCGCCCCTCAGAGTTCCCGCCTGCCCCCAGGCAGAACAGTAATTCTCACCTTTCATTTCTGTGAAAAGCCAATTTAGACATTTCCCTTATGCCAAGGGAAGCGGTTTCTAATTTAGAGAAAAAAAACGGGTTCCAATTATGCATAATCAGAGCTTGCTAAAATGTCATTTTGGATTTTTTGGTTATAAATGAACAACTTACCTAATACTCTGAGTTCTGCATTTGCATAGATGCTCTGGTACTTGTTCTCTGCCGTGCACTGGTACACCCCCGAGTCGGACACGTTCAGCATGGCGATGCTTAGCGTCCCGTTCTCTATCTGGATCCTTTCCTGCGAGAGAAAGGCCACGTGACAGAGGCGGCAGTGGCCAGGCTCGTTAGCAAACATTCCCGTCCAGGCGCTTGAGGTGCTCGGACTTCAGCTTGGTCCCTGCTGGACCCCGAGCGGCTTTCTAAGCCTTTGGGAAAAAATGGAAAAGCACTTAGTGTAATTTGGGTGGTTAGTCTGTTTTATGTCATCTCGTCTCTTTGAAAACTGGCATTTTCTGCATAGAATGTATGTTAACTACCTGTTAGACAATATCTGAAATAATTCAGAGCACTCCACCTCTCCAATTATCCCAGAGAGGGTGACAGCAAGATCAGACACGGATATAATTTGGCTTCGTGCCAGAAGGTCTCGGCGCTGCTGTGGTCACTCCCAAGAGCCCGGACTCACGGGGGCTCCACGCTTCTCGGGGCCACCCCGGGACCCCAAAAAGAGCTAACTGTGCCCAGAGCCCCATCGTCAGACTGGGAATACAGTGCTGGACGCACAGGGTGAGAAGCTGGACAGGCTGGACGAAACATCTCCAGGTGCCTCTGAGGAACGGCCCCTGCAGACGTGAAAGGGGTGTAGGGAGCCGAGGGCCTTATGGGAGGGGTCGCGCTGGGGGCCAAGGCACAGCCCTGGGGTCCAGACACAGCCCCCAGAGTCCAGACAGCCCCGGGGGCCCCAGACACAGCCCCAGGGACCCCAGACACAGCCCCAGGGCACGGCACAGCCCGCGGTGACTCTGGGGCACTCGGGCAGCTCCCAGCTCCTACCTCGGGCTCCAGGCGCTCTCCGTCCTTCAGCCACTCGTACCAGGGGCTCGGCCTCCCGCTAGCCCTGCACTCCCAGAGCAAGCTGTCATAAACAGACAGGTACGTATTTTGGATTTTCTGTTCCCATTCCGGAGGAGCTGTGTCAAAACAGATGAGAACAGGCATTTGGCCATCCGTTCCCACACACATCACGCCAAGGGTCTGCGCGCAGAACTCGGCAGGACGGAGATACCGAAGCGCACAGGCCGGTCCGCCAGAAGGGACCCTCTGGCACAGAGGCTGCTCGGGAAGGGGTGGCTCAGGGCGTCACCTGCAGCCCTGGTAGGTGTCTCTGAGCCTCCTCAGGAGACATCGGGGCAGCCTGGGTTCAGGGTCCGGCCAGGCTGCTGTCAGCTCAGACCTTCCCGCAGAGCCTCAGGTCACAGAGCCAGGGCCATCCTGGTGGGCTTCACGGGGGGGACGCGGCAAGGACAGGCAGTTCACCCTAAAGCAGCTCCCTCAGAGTGTGCGGGCAGTTTGGGGCAGGGAAGCTGACCCAGGATGGGATGGGAGGGGCCAGGCAGACCCCATTAAGGAGAGGCTCCATCCGCTGGCCGGGGAGGGTCCAGGCAGGAGGAAAGTCGCCCTGTGGACACTCGCTGGCTCTCTGGATCACTGTGGAGCTGAGGAAGGCGGACAGGCCCTCTGATGCCGTGTCTCGGTGACCACAGTTGTCCCCTAAGGCAGAGGGGCCGTTAGCCATGGGGGGGGGGGGTCCCTGAGGAGCTGTGACCAACCAGGGATTCAGGCACAGCCTATCTGTCAGGGACAGCACTGTGAGCAGGTGTGTGGAGACAGCGTGTGAAGCTGCTAGAGCATTCTGTAGATAATGCAGATAACGATTTAGGGATTGTCCTGAGATATGGCTGGCTGGGGAACATACACAGGCTCATAGAACCGTCCCAGAGCTTCTGAGAAATTAAAAATGATCTGAGTATTGTGTGATGCAATAATCGTAATTCTAAAGCACTTAGTCAATACATGCATTCTCAGGAGCTTCAGATGTTTAACTACAGGAGAGAAGGCAATGAGGGGGGTACATCCCCGCGGGGATCAGGCTTCCAGCCTACCCACTATGGAAGATGGGGGTGGGCTTCTGAACGCCAAAGGCAGGGAGGTGAAGAGGACAGAGTCCTTCTCTGAGGCCCAGGAACTGAATCCAGACTCGCTCCATCAAAGGAACTTACATATGACCAAGAGGCACTGTATTTGCCTCGATGGACAATGTTCATATTCACCGGCAAGAACCCAGTCAAGGGTTCAGATCCATCTGCTTATCAAGATAAGCCCCTGGGCATGGATGGAGACCACCAAATTGCTCCCAAATGGGCCAAATGGCAGAGGAGGGGGAGTCCAGTTTCAAAAGATAATTCTGGGCTCTCGGGTCTGAAAAGTATTATCGGGGAGATTTTGAAACATTCATTCATCTAAGTTTTGTTGCCTAAATCATCACTGAGAAAGATGCATTTTTAGTCTAAGAATAACATGAATGGACACTTTCAGAATCTTCTCTATAGGTCAGCAGATATGCATCAACATAGGAATCTTTCCCACCCTCTGGTTTGCAGACCCCACCCTTCTCTGGTTTAACCTCTTGATTATAATTTCTATCTGTTTAATGGGAAATTCATGCTAGCAAAAGCTTTTAATATCTGGTGGCAGTAAAAGTCTCCAAATTGCATCCTCACTATCATCTTTACAAAGGTGACTAGATCCCAAAGGTAGACGGGATATCTCTCTCTTTAAAACCAGGGACTCCAGAAAACTCTGTGTGTGTGTGTTTATATACACACATAAATAGTGTGTGCTGCTGTTGTTAGCATTGCTACAACAGTAGAGGAATAATCAGGAGTAAATCATATTCTATATATAAAATAGCAGTTTTCATTTCACGTTAAAATTGAAAATTCTAAAGGAAATGGAAAGTAATATAACCAAGACTGAATATGTTCTCCCCATAGGAATCTCAGTTGGCATGCCTCTGAGGCAATTACAGTATCTTAGACTTTGTAGTCATCAAAAAGTATTTTCTCCTCCAATTATTTTATCACCGATTATAAACACGTCACACAGAAGCATGCTACATAGGAAACCAGGCTTTCCCCCTTACAGTTTGTTAAGGCACTCCAGTGCAACTCTATTGTATTTAGCATGGACATGAAGAATGCTTTTTAACATAGCAACCATTTTTGACAAATTGTGGGTCTAGTTTATGATTTACTTGATGTAAAATAAGAAAATTTGATATAAACGCGTGTTTTGATGTGGTAGAAAGAAAACTTTTAGGTCGTAAATGCTTCCATCATCTCTTAAGTTTCTCTGAGATTGTGGAAATGGAGGAAAACATATACTTTCCACTATCATAAAGACCCTTTTCCATCACTTGCATATAATTGGACAGCCTGGGAAGCAAACAGAAATTCAGTATCCGTTTCCCATCCTATTTTCTCTCCGTTTGTCATTTCTACTCAGAATTATAATGAAAACGGTCACAGGCTGTCGCTGAATTTTTAGGAGAATTTGTTGTGTTTCGTGTTACCTGTGTTACAAACCTTACCTAACTGTAGTGTGACATGGCAGAGACTTCTCCGGCAACTGCAGTAGAGTTGCGTGGTGCATGCATGGCACTGAACGCAGAGCAGCTTGCTAACAACAGTCTCTCACATGCGAGGAAGCACCCTCGCCTGGAATGCTCCCCGCTGTCCCCAGGAAGCTTTTAGACAACGTGCTAATGACCCCCCAGCCCAGCTTCCCAGGAAGGGAGCTGCCACCTCCTGGGAAGCTCGGCCCTGTTAGCTCACCGTAGAAAATGAGCTGGCCCCTGGCCAGATTCCGTCCTCGAGGGTTGCCTGCGAGGCATTCATAGGCGCCTTCGTCTTCCTGTTGAAAGTGCGGGATTTCAAGGGTAGCTCGGGATTGGCTGAACTTGGCTTTCCCTGGCAACGGGCTTCCATCCAACCTCCTCCAGCTAATGTCAGGGACTGGGCTAAACAGTTACACCTCGTTAGAACAGAAGATGTTCTTGTCAGCAAAATTCTATGAGTGTCCTGAAAAATAATTCTTGAGGGAAAAAAATCTGGTCAATCAATCTATAGATCTGTGTCTACTGTTCAGATCCTGCGTCGCTCACCTTCCTCTCACCCAGCAATTTATAAAGCTGCATAAAGTGCCTCTCCACACTCAGCTCAGACTAGGATTACCTTCTTAACGGGGACGGGAAATGGGCGTGTGTCGACCCCTCCGGGTGCTTACAGACTAGAGGACAGACATGCAGTAAACCGTGAAAACAAATATGCCTGCAAACTGCAGTGACAGGAACAAAGGAAATGGAAAACACAGACAAGAGCGAGACTAACTCCATTCAAATATGGCATCAGGAGATGCTTGGTGGACACTGACAAGGAGCATATGGACACCCTGTCACAGACGCCCTGTCATGGACGCCCTGTCATGGCCGCCCTGTCACAGATGCTCTGTCACAGATGCCCTGTCACAGATGCCCTATCATGAATGTCCTGTCAGGGACACCCTGTCAGAGACACCCTGTCATGGCCTCCCTGTCACAGATGCCCTGTCACAAATGCCCTGTCATGGATGCCCTGTCACAGATGCCCTTTCATGGATGCCCTGTCATGGACTCCTTGTCACAGATGCCCTGTCACGTGCTCCCTGTCACAGATGCTCTGTCACAGACACTCTGTCACAGACGCCTTGTCATGAATGCCCTATCACGAACACCCTGTGATGGCCACCCTATCACAGACACCCTGTCACAGATGCCCTGTCACAGACACCCTGCCATGGATGCCCTGTCACAGACTCCCTTTCATGGATGCCCTGTCATGGAGTCCCTGTCACAGAAGCCCTGTCACATGCTCCTTGTCACAGATGCCCTGTCATGAATGCCCTGTCGTGGATGCCCTGTCACAGACGCACTTTCATGGATGCCCTGTCATGGACTCCCTGTCACGGATGCCCTGTCACGTGCTCCTTGTCATAGATGTCCTGTCACGAATGCCCTGTCATAGATGCCCCATCACAGACTCCGGGTCACAGATGCCCTGTCACATGCTCCCTGTCACAGATGCCCTGTCAGTCATGGATGCCCTGTCATGGACGCCCTTTCATAGACACCCTGTTACAGACATTCTGTCACGATCTCCCTGTCATGGATGACCTATCACAGACATCCTGTCACAGACACCTGTCACAACACTCTGTTATGATCTCCCTGTCACGGATGCCCTATCACAGATGCCCTGTCATGGACGCCCTGTCACAAACACTCTGTCACAATCTCCCTATCACAGATGCCCTGTCACAGACACCCTGTCACAGATGCCTTGTCACAGACTCTCTGTTCCTGGACTTCCTGTTCATGGATTCTGATCATGGACTTCCTGTCATAGACTCCCTGCTTCATGGACTCTCTGTTCATGGACTCCCTGTCATGGGCTCTGTTCACGCACTTCATTTTTTTTTTTTGCTTCCTGTTCATGTCCACGCATGTAAGAGTGCAGACTCCCTGGAGACCCCCAGGTACTGACAGCCTTGCCTGTCCAATGCTGTCTCTGACACAGGCTGCCGACACCAGGATGAGCGTGGCCTCTCTCAGCCTCAGAAGATGGCGTTCCTTTTGTGCCACCCAGAATAACCGGGCAGCAGATCACTGTACACAGCGCCCCATCTGTGAGCCCCAGTGCGGGGCCCCGTTACTGGTGGACACTTAGCTCCACATCTCACATCGCTTCAATAAACTCCCAGTAAGACCGCAGAAGTGTGTTTGATCTTGTGACTCTCAGAGCCCAGCAGTGGGGATGGATGTGGACAGTCACGACAAGGGACGCCTCACTTCGACAGGCAGAGAAACGCTAGCCGCGAACGAAGCTGCAACACGACAGGCAAATGCTGTGGAAACTTGCCATCGGCAAAACGAACCCACATCTCATCTCCCGGGTCAGCCTCCCTGCTCCTGCTTTTGGGCTAGAATCGCTCCCCGGGTGGATTTTCCCTAAGTAACTTTGCTCTAAATATATTTCAAATTAATAATAATCACGGGCTGGAGTGATAGCATAGTGGTAGGGCATTTGCCTTGCATGCAGCCAACCTGGCCGACCCGAGTTCGATTCCTCCGCCCCTCTCGGAGAGCCCGGCAAGCTACCGAGAGGATCTCGCCCGCACGGCAGAGCCTGGCAAGCTCCCCGTGACGTATTCGATATGCCAGACACAGTAACAACAAAGTCTCCAATGGAGACGTTACTGGGCCCGCTCGAGCAAATCGATGAACAACAGGAGGACAGTGACAATAATAATCACAGCAAAATCGGTTTGCAATGCCAGCTTTCTAACTGAAGAGGACAGTGGGCATTTCTCCGCTGCCACGAAGCCCGGTGGGGATTTGAGCAGTAAATGGTGGGACTTGATGCCGATGACTCAGGGGCGCCTCCAAATAATGCCCGAATGCTGAGGAATTTGGGGGAGGCTTCTGGGGAGCAGGCCTGACCCTGGCGCCCAGGCACGCAGGTGGAGAAGCCATGGGCACCCCCCGCATGGTCAGAGACCCCCCAGCTCAGACTGTCTCGCCTGTTGGTCCCAAAATTAGCATGCAGTTCAAATAGAGTGAATTTGGCAAAGCAAAAACTAACAGCTTCATTATGATAAATTTGTATGTTGTTCTCGTGAATAGCCTTGTCACTTACCAGATATTTAGGTTGACATTTTAGCAAAATGCCATCTCCCTGACAACAATTAACCTCAGAAAACAGCTTTTTTTTTCTCCATTCATTTTATGGAACAACAAAGTGAAGTTCTAGAAGAAAGGTGACTCTCAGGGAAAGACCTTCTGCAAGTGTGTGTCTGCCGGACTTTATAGCCAGGCATTATTGTCCAACTTTCAGAAGCGCATTTAGTGCCCACCCATGGGAGCACGTCACACACTACTGAGGAGAAAGTGGGCACAAGCGTTTGGTTTTCCTTCTGCTTCTCTCCGCTTCCCACTTTCCCCTAGCGTGAGTATGAACACACACAGAGAAACCCTGGGAACTGCCACTGAGAAGAAGTAGAGAGCTCCTGACTAGCCATGGTTTCCAGAAGGACCTAGGCCGCTTCCTGCCTTGACCGGTAGTTTGTCGTTTCATTCTGGATGCTAAGGGCGGCTCTCGGTGAAGCAGCACCTAAGCTCTAGAGCGGGCTCCCGGGCCTGCGTTCTGGGTGAGGACACGAGAACCACAGGCACCACCTGGTGTGAGGGGCATGAGGGCATTGCCGTGGCCAGGCCTCTCTGAAAAGGGACGGGCAGGTAGACCCACGGGGTTTCTTGCCTCACAGGCCTGTGACTCCCCTGAGGGGCCTCTCACAGCCTCCCCACACCCACCGCCCTGACTGCCTGAGATGCACCAGCCAGGGGACCCACAGGCCCCTGAGCCCCTCCCCCCTTGGGCCCAGCACCCCTGCAGCCGGCGCTGCCTGGCTCTCTTCATGGGCAGGGAGCTGGCGCCCAGCACACGGCCTGCATGTCTGGGACACGGGGCAGGACCCGCTGTTCCTGCAGGACATGCCCCAGGGCCAGCCCTGATGCGGCGCCTTGGGGATCTCGCTGCACCCATTCCTGCAGGCTCCTCTTGCTTTCCTCTGAGCCTCCGTTTTCCATGATTTCGCCTCTGAGCTATTTCCAAGAGTTCGTGGCCAGGAAATGACTCCCCCAGGATCTGCTTCCTCCCAGTTTGAGCACTCCACCTCCCGCTTCCATTGTAGCCCCAGTTTGGTATAACCAGAGCTATGGGCAGCAACCGAGACACCAGGGGGTCCTGGGAGAGGCTCTTGGGGGGAGCAGCTGGCCCTGACTGGCGAGGATGCTGGGAGCAAGGACAGAGGTGGTGGTGGGTGGGATAATGGGGGTGGTGTGGATGGTGGTGATGGTGGCGAGGGTGATTGTAATGGTGAAGATGATGGTGACAGTGATGCTGGTGATGGTGACGGTGATGCTGGTGATGGTGTTGCTGGTGATAGTGGTAACTATGATGGTGGTGATGGTGATGATGGTGGTGATGGTGGTAGTGATGGTGGTAGTGATGGTGGTAGTGATGGTGGTGCTGATAGTGATGGTAATGCTGGTGAGGGTGGTGCTGGTGACGGTGATGACAATGAAGATGGGGGTTTTGTTTGGGAGTCCCACCTGGCTATGCTCAGGCTTTACTCCTGCTCTGTGCTTCGGGCTCACGTATGGTGGCAGGGAAAGAAACTAGGTTAGCTCTGTGCGAGGCAAGCACCGGGTTCCCCGTAGTATCTCTCTGGTCCCAGACTGCATGCCTTCTCCCTTCTCTGCTTGCACACTTCCTCGTGCTCAGGGATCAAACCTCCCCATGCTGCAGAGGGGAAGAGGCCCCCACTGCAGGGACGCGTGCCCTGGTCTGCTCTGGTTTGGGACCGGAAGCCCCGGCCCCCAGCTCGGGCCCTTCAGGTCCGCACGGAGCAGATGCCCTGGCCTGGGACGGAACTGCGAAGCAGGGGTGCCGGGAGGCCGGGCAGCTGGTTGCTGAGACCTGCCTACGTGGGGGGCACCCAGACGCAGGGCTGCAGGAGCTGCTCGGGAGGGAGGGGCTCGGGCTGGCTCTGTCCCCTCAGGCTCAGCGGCCACCCTGCATCAGGCACAGGTGACGCCTGGCCAGCCCCAGTGGAGCCTCCCACAGAGCAGTTCCTGCCTGGCACCAAACCGGCGTGCCTCCCAACACACGGACGCTTGCACCTCACACCCGCCCGAGCCAGGGATGGCCGCCGCCCGCACCCAACAGACGCTCACGGACAGACCCTGCGTGCTGGGCTCAAGTGCTGCCAGGGCCCATTCTGGCCCCAGGATGGAATTCTGGGATGTGGCAGGTATTGTATTTCACACACGACATACTGTAGACTTCTCGGAGCAACTAAACTTCAAAGGCAAGTTTTGAAAATATTTCTAATTATATCTTATCAAGTGAACTTTGGTCATAT